ATTATTCTAATAATAACAATAAAAAAATAATAAATTTAAGATTAGTTTAGATCTTACAACCGTGCTTCAACGCTCCACTAATTACGATTACGAACTTTTTAATTTTTTCCGATATTAGGAAAATAATTAGAAAATTTAAGAGAATAATTAGAGAATTTAAGAAAATAAGGATTATTAGAGATTTAGAGAATATAAGAGATAAGAAGAAGAGATTGTGATTTGGGAATGAAATGGAGGTGAGTATTTATAGAATTTTTGGGGAGCAAATTGGCAAAAAACTAGCCGCTTTTTAGCCATTTTTTTGGCTTATTAAGGAGCTAGAATAAACGGTAACATTACCGTTGGCCCGCGGGCCGGCGCGACGGGCCAGCACGGCGGGCCATGCCCGTGCTCGTGCCGGGTCGTGCCTGGGAATTCTCAACCCTGTCCGTGGCACGGGAGTTGAACTTCGTGCCTTGCCGTGCTTGAATTCGGGCCGTGCCGGGCTGCGCCGAACGGCGGGCCGTGCCGGGCGGCACGCGGGCCACCCGGCCCGTGCCCAGGTTTAATTGAGCCTCATAAAAATAATGGGCCAATTAAGGAATAAAATGGACTAGGCTTTACTTTTATTCACATGAACTACTTGTATTCACATGAACTATATAGAATGATGGTTTATAAAAACCATAATGTAATAAAATAATTTTCCACCCAAAATAATTTGAAACTTTTTGAAATAAAATCCGGAAATATACAAGTAAATATTATAAACAAAATGAAATTTCATTTATAAAATATTTAAAAATACGGGGATTACAAGTACAACTTGCTTTAACAAATGAAATAAGACATCAATCTATTAAATAAGTATCACCAAGTAAAGAAAAAATTATCCCATATGAATAAAATTATCCTTTTCAAAATCTAGATAAAAATAAGAAGTTTACGGTGTCACTCCCTAAAAGACCTACTAGTAATCAAGAAAATAACGAAGAAACTAAAGATGAGCCATCATCTTCAGGAGAAAACAATCGAAAAATTGCAAATCTTATTTGATAAACAAGAAGACCCTAATAAGTTAAATGATATCATGAAGATAATTTCTGAAAAAGGAATTACTGCTGAGAACGTAATAGTGGAAAATAACTATGCTACTCTAGAAAAAGATTTATATCAACAAATGGTATTAACGAAAGATTGAAAACAAACTAGGTAAAAGGGAAATGGATAATAATGACGTTGGAGAAGAAATTATTAATGTAAACAATATTATCCAAAGACCTAGGTATCAAGGAGAAGGAAGTTACACATGACCAAGATACATACCAGGGAAGACTACACGGTTTAGTGTCAAGGTCATGCCTAACCAAATACCTAAACAAGAAGAAGTGACTCTTGAACCTATAATTCAAACTGGTTATAAGATTTAAATTAGATGGTGTAAGAGATAGACAAGATGTTTTAGATCAGTGGAAAAAGAGTATGAGTAGTGTACTTAACTTGAACATTGAATGGAATTCTGAAAATTTCTTAAACTACATCGAACATAGTTTCTATGGCTGTGTAGAAGACTAGTACGATGGGATAGATGAAGAAGTCAAAACTGTATTAAGAGCTAGTGAATCACCTACTAGAATGTTTAGGCAGTTATGTCAATACGTTGAGTTAGAATTCATTGGTCCTAGAACTGATCCTAATGAAAAACGAATTGAGAATCAGAGAAAGTTAAGTAATTTGTCCATATGTAATATAAAATATGTGGATAATTATATTATGGAATTTGAAACATATTATTATAAAATTGATGAAACGAAACAAATCTTGGAATGTTCTACGATAAATTATCAAGTCTCCTTAATGATGAAATTAGTGAAAAATATCAAGAATGGAGAGAAAAATTCTTAGCTAGGGATGCCCCAAATGTAGAGAGGTAATATAATTGATTTTCTAAGAAAATGGATTGAAAAGAAATGTAGAGAGGTTGCGGGAACTCAACAAATGAAAAGACAATTTCTCAGTTGTTGGGATTTCCCAATAACTATGGATGTGAAAGAAAAAACTATAATAAGAGAAGGAATTATAAGAAAAATAAATTTGATCAATCAAGAGGAGAAACCTATAATAAGAAGTATTATAAACATAAATATAGAAAACCAATTAGGTTTTTTTGAAAAGGCAACATATTGTCCTAGAAAAAGAAAACATGCAAGTGTTGGTCTTGTGGAGAATTAGGACATTACGCTAACGAATGTAAGAAAGCTAATTACAAATTAATAAAGCCTTAGGTAGTTGGGACTACATAGAAATACCAGAAGACGAGGCTTTAGAATTGGCTTTAAGCAATAATAAAGGAATAGTAGAAATAATAGAAGAGGAAAATGAGTATAATGAAGAACATGAAAATAGTGATGAGTTTGAAGATGAAAATTTTGAAGAGATATGTAATATGATGGAAGGAGAAGTATTGGAAAACTCAGAACCAGATGACAATGAGGGTAAAAGTAAAATCACTAGTAGAAAAAGGCAAAAAAACACTGCTCAATGGCCACCGGTTTTTAAAAACCGGTAGGAAAAAAAGTGGAAAAATGGGCGGGATTGTGGGATATAGTATTGCCACTGGTTCAAACCGAACCGGTGGGGAAAACATTAATCCCACCGATTAAAAATCGGTGGCTTTGTTAAAAAAAACCGCCCCTGCCCCTTTATAAACCCCTAACCCTAACTCTCTCCTCTCCTCGGCTTCTCTCATCCCTCCCCTCTCCTCTTTCTCTCTCATGCTCTTTATCTCTCTTGCTCGTCTCACCCTCCTTCTCGTTTCACCCTCTCTCTCCTCTCTCGTCTCAAAGCTCTCTCGTCTCCGGTTGCTCTCTCACCCCTTTCTCTCCTCTCTCGTCTCACTTATCTCTCCTTCTCTCTCGTTATTGCCGGCAGTTTCGTTGGTTGGTGGTGTTAAAAAATTAATGGTTTTTAAGGTTAAATTCGACTTTGAAAACTCTAGATCTAGAGTTCTCATGGTCGAATTTGACCTTATTAAACCAAATTCAAACCAATTTCGGTTAATACCGATATGTTTTTTTTTTTTTTTTTGTTTTTTGGTTGTTGTTGTGGTTGCTGTCGTGGTGGGTGTGGGTTTGGGTGATGGGTGGCGGGGTTGGATGCTGTCGTAGTGGGTGTGGATTTGGGTGATGGGTGGCGGTGGGTAGGGTTTTGGTTTGGTTTTGCGTTCGGTCAGGGTTTGGGTGGGTAAACAAACAAGATTATTGTCTAAATTGGAACTGCTGCATTTCTCGTCGTGGCTCTTAATTTTGCATTTCACACCTTCAAATCCTTCAATCATTGTCGCAAAGCTAAAGGTTTCTCAATTTTCTCTTTTTGATTTTTTTTTCATTTATTTGATTTAGGTTATTTTTTAAATTACCACCCAAAAATGTAACCATTTTCGAACTAACCACCCATTTAATTTTTTATTCTAAATAACCACCTGTTAAATAAAATAAATGCTCAGAGTACCACCCATTCCAAAATTCCGGTGGATTTTCCATCTGTAGGCCCCACGTAACACTTATTTGACCCTTTTGACTGTTTTTTTTTCCCGATTTTTCTCTTTAAAAATGTTGTCTAAACTTTAATTCACATTTCCTTCACCAAATTCTACCAAATTTCAAAGAGAAAATGTGAAATGAAGTTAGGAGAGCGTTTTTAAAGAGAAAAATCAGGGGGGAAAAATTAGTCAAAAGGGTCAAAATAAGCGTTAGGTGGGGCCCACAGACGGAAAATCCACCGGATCTTTGAAATAGGTGGTAATATGAGCATTTATTTAATTTAAGGGGTGGTAATTCAAAATAAAAAATTAAACGGGTGGTTAGTTCGAAAATGGTTACATTTTTGGGTGTTAATTTAAAAATTTTCCTTTGATTTATGGTAATTGTGATGTAGAATGTTGTGGAATTGTGATTTGTTTCTCAATTTTGTTTGTTTTGTTTGGATGTGTGTAGATCTTTTTGGGTTGAATGTGAGAGTGAATTTTTCAGTGAATGAAATTCGGAAATTGGCAGATCGAATTATTTAGGTTGATTTTTTTTTTTAAATTTGGCAGATTTAATTAATTTATATTATGTATATTTATGTAATTTTGGAGATTTGTGTATATTTATGTAATATTTATGTAATTTTGCGGATTTAATTTATGTATCTAATTTTGCAGATTTAATTTATGTATATTATGTTTATACTGATTTTAAGTGAAAAAAATAATTATTTTTTGGGACAATATTGCCAACGGTTAATCGGTGACATTAACCTAGTATTGCCACCGGTTAACCGGTGGCATTAACCACTTTTCCCGTGGTAAAATAATCCAGAATTGCCATCGCTCAAATAGCCACCGGTTCAAAACAAGTGGAATAAGCCAGTTTTGAATCGGTGGCTAATTGCATTATTCAACTAGTGAATGACTATAGGCCAACTAAAGAGAGTTGAGTATTCTATTGATGATAAAGACCTAGATCAAATGAACAAAGAAAGTTGGAATTTTCCCCAGATTACTAAAGATAAAATATTTAAAACTTCTTTCTTTAAAACTAGAACTAAATATGTATGCGAAGAAATGGAAGGAAGTATAGTAATCAAGGATTGTGAAAAGAGAGCAGTGGAAATTAATATCATAAACTGGAAAACCATTAAGAACCATAAAGAAAAAGGAAATTATAGTTATATTTGTATTAGTTCAGTGCAAGTATACATAACTCCTTTACAAGGTTTTGGTAAAAATGTTAAATGTTTAAGCTTTGTTTGTGATATTAGACATAAAGAGTTTTATGAGCAGATTGGCGTTACTTGTAGCTTAAGTCAAGGAGCTGTAAACTATATATGTGAACCCATATATTATGTGAGTTTAGAAGATTCATATGCTCCAAAGTTTTTAGTGATCAAGTTATTAACTCTTGGAATAAACATGCATAAAGGAACTCGGCCTATATAGTTAAGATAGAAGGTAGTCCATAAGTTGGTTAACAATATAGATTCATCTTTCAAGAAACAAATAGTAGATGCATAAAGGAGAAGGTTCTAAATCCTAATGAAATAGAAATTGAAAAAACTTGGGAAGAATTCTTCATGAATCCTATAGTAAAGAATAGGTCAAGTAAGATCAAGGCTGGCTAAGGACCTGCGCAAACATGCCCTTAGCACAAGGCCCCCAAATTCGGAGGGCCCATATTTGCGGAGTCCAAGCCTTAAGTTAAAAAAAAAAAAAGAAGAAGAAAAAGTCAGCAATACTCACGTGAAAGAAAAAGCTCCATTTACTTCATTTGTCTAGATTCATCATCTCTTTCCTTCGTAAATTGCACCATCAAGATAGCCCCAACTTCCCAAAATTTCTGAAATTTTCTTTAACTTCCTTTCTTTGAATCCTTTCTATTTTGTCATTTAATTTTATTGTTTTACCCCCAAATTTTTAATTTTCCAAATTTAATGTTTTGCCTTCAATCAATTCAAACCCTTAATTTTCGTTCATCAAGAATTTTCCAACGGGTAGTATGAAGAATTTTTTCTCAAATCTTGAATTGCACAATTAAACCCCTTAATCTTCGTTTATCAAACGATTAAATTTTTTATCCCTTATAAATTTCATTTCAATAATCTATCTTTTTCAATTACCTGTGTTCATACATTCGTACTCAAATTACATTTAGCTATTAAAAAAAAATTCAATTAAGAATACCATAGTAAAAATAATTCATGGAGTACAAGAGGTTAACAAGAAGATTAGATCCAAGGGAATTGGTTGCGGCAAATCAAGAAATCGGCAATCCTGTTTTACTTGTGGCCTTGCGGCTATGTGAGTTCGCCGAGCAGACTTGTAGCATTTGATGAATCATCAAATAACAATGGCAAGTGGATTATGACAGGTTGTTTCTATCCTTTTGCAATTTAAATTATTAGATTAATTGTATAATTTATTGTGTTTTTTGGGTGAGTTGTTTGATTGTTTGTTTAATTAGTATTTAGTAAGTATTGTTAAAGTTTTATTTTTAGATTTTAAATATGCCTCCTAAGAGAAAGTATGTCTCTGGTCATGATAAACGTATGGAAAAGAAATAAATTGAAGAGTTAACTCAATATCAAAGAGGAGCCCTTCACAAATTTCTAATAAAATAACCACAAATTTCTGTTGAAAATCAAGATGTTGATGATGTTAATTCAGAATTTCCTGATAATGTTGATGATGTTAATGCTGAAATTCTTGAAAATGTGATTCTTACTGAGAATCTTAATAGTGTTGATAATGTGGATGAAAATGACAATTTGAATAATTTGTTGGAGGATGATGATGAAGAGCATGATACGGATGAAAATGGTAATAATAATGAAGAGCAACCAACCCAATTTGATTACTCTTTTGATATATTTGATCCAAGAAATTGGGATGCTCTTGAATAAAAAATGATTGATTTAGTAGTGACAAAATGCCCTAAAAGAGACCATTCTATTGTAAATGGTCCTAAAGATAAATTTTCTAGACGCTTTACAACTAAGTTATATATACTAGAGTTTTATCTAATGGAGAGAAATGTGATAGAGATTGGCTTGTTTATTCGAAAGAACTTGATAGAGTATTTTGTTTTTGTTGTAAAATTTTCAAAAAAGAAATTGGTAGAGGTCAATTAACTAATGATGGTTTTAGTGATTGGGCACATATAGGTGAGAGACTTAAAGAGCATGAAACCGGTATTGAACATGTTAAGAATACAACAACTTGGTATGAGTTGCGTTAAGGCTCAAAAAGAATGAAACTATTGATAAAACGACTCAAAGACTAATTGAGAAGGAAAAGGATCACTGGAAAAATGTCATAAAAAGAATTGTTTCAATTGTGAAATTCCTTGCTAAACATAGTTTGGCCTTTCGTGGCTCTAACGAGAAATTATATCAAAGTAGCAATGGCAATTTTTTGGGCTTGATTGAAATGTTAGCAGAGTTTGATCCGATTATCCAAGTGCATGTTAGACGTATCACAAATGATGATTTACACTTTTATTATCTTGGGCATAACATCTAAAATGAGTTAATACTTTTGCTTGCTTATGCAATTAAAAATGAAATCTTAAAAAAAATCAAACGAGCAAAGTATTTCTCTGTGATACTTGATTGTAATCCTGATATTAGTCACCAAGAGCAAATGTCTTTAATAATAAGTATTAGTCACCAAGAGCAAATGATACTTTTGCTTGCTTATGCAATTAAAAATGAAATCTTAAAAAAAATCAAACGAGCAAAGTAATTCTCTGTGATACTTGATTGTAATCCTGATATTAGTCACCAAGAGCAAATGTCTTTAATAATAAGATATGTGGATGTCTCTGAATAATATTCTGTTAGTGTTGAAGAATCTATTTTAGGATTCTTAAATGTGAATGATACAATTGGTCGGGGACTTTTGATGTTTTATAAAAAGAATTGAAAATTTTTAGTCTTGACATATTTGATGTACGGGGACAAGGATATGACAATGGGTCAAATATGAAAGGAAAACATCAAGGTGTACAAAAGAAACTTTTAGATATAAATCCAAGAGCCTTTTATACTCCTTGTGGTTGTCATAATCTTAATTTAACATTGTGTGATATGGCTTACTCTTGCAATAAAGCTAAGGATTTTTTTGGAGTTATACAACGCATATATACAATTTTTTCTAATTCTACTAAGAGATGACAAATTTTGAAAGATAATGTAAAAGTCTTAACTCCGAAATCATTGTCATCCACTCGTTGGGAGAATCGTATAGATAATGTCAAAGCTATAAAATGTCAAATGTTAGATTTTAGAGAAGATTTACTTGAAGTGTCAGACAATGATCTTGATTCTAAACTAAGTAGTGAAGCTAAATCCTTGGCAACAAATGAGCTAGGTGATTTTGAGTATTTAATGTCAATAATTATATGGTTTGAGATATTGTATGCAATTAATATGATTAGCAAGCTTTTGCAATTAAGTGATATGGTTATTGATGTTGCTATGGAAAAAAATAAAGGAGTAGATTTCATATTTTGAAAAGTACAGAGATATTGGATTTTATAGTGCCTTGGATGATGCTAAAGAAATTGTTATCAAATTGAATATCGATCCAATATTTCCTCAAAGGCATGTTATTCGAAGAAAAAAACAATTTTATGAGAATTTAGATACCCCTTTAGTTGAGTTATCAGGGGAAGAATCTTTTAGAGTAAACTTTTTTCTTATCCTTGTTGATTAGGCTATTGTTTCTCTTAATAAAAGATTTGAGCAATATCAAGCGTATGAAAGTATATTTGGTTTTATGTTTACTTCTGAAAAGTTAGAATCATTAGGTGATGCATCTTTGAAGTCATGTTGTAGTCATTTTGAGCAAGCATTAAGACATAATGGGCAATCTGCTGATATTGATGGAAATGAACTCTATGTGGAATTTAAGTTATTAATAGATATTTTTCCATCAATTCCAACAAAATAAATGGGAGCTATCGATATATTAAAATTTTTGAATGATGTAGATTGTTTTTCGAATGCTAATATTGCTTATAGGATCTTATTGACTATTCCCGTGACAGTTGCTTCTGCAGAAAGAAGTTTTTCAAAATTGAAGTTGTTGAAATCTTACTTGCGGTCTACCATGTTACAAGAACGACTTAATGGATTGACGTTGATAGCTATTGAAAATGATCTTTTGGAGAAGGTGAAATATGAAGATATGGTTGATGAATTTGCTTCAAAAAATGCTAGAAGAATAGCTATGTTTAAATATTTTGATCTTTTAATAATTAAGATTGTATTTTGATATTAATCATGTTATTTACAATTTAAATAAAGTACTTTGTGTTTTTTGGCTTCGTTTTAAAATGTTGTTATATGATAATTTCATTAAAAAAAATTATTAGGGCCCAATTTCCGAGTTTAGAACAGGGCTCCCATAATGATTAAGACGGCCCTGAGTAAGATTTTAATTGATGAATTAAGATTACTTCATATTGGAATAACTATGAATCCTAAAATGCATAGAAGCATGAGTCATAGAACACCAAGTCTAAGTAGACAAAATTCAACTATAAGAAGGATGAAAAAAACAAGTCAATGAAAAACCCGAAGAAGACGAAGAAGAAATATTGACTTTAATAAAAAAGTTAAATGAAAAATATGAAGCTAAGAAAGCCTTAAAGCAACCAGCAAGACATAGTATAGATATTGGTTCGTGTTCTAATTTAGAAATGCATAAAGAACCGAATAATTCTATTATTGATAAAAGAAAGGTAATTGGATATAAAAACAAAACTGTGAGTGAACCAGTATATGAAGATGAAGTCACTATGCAAATTGAAGCCTGTAATGAAATATCCAGTACTAATCCTAGTAGCATTTATATTCAAATTGATATATGCATTAAAGATTATAATAAATATAAATTATGTGCATATATTGATAGTGGTTGTTCTACATGTTTGGGAAAAAGGTCATTATTTCCAGAATTCTTGTGGAAAAAGGATAAAACTTCTATGCAAGTTAGAATTGCTAATAATAGTGTCATAATGCATACGGAAATAATTGAAGAATTACCAATAGAAATGGGAGGAATTCAATATGTTATTCCTATTTTATGGGCTACTGATTAACCTAGTCATGATATGATAATGGGAAATAACTTTCAAAGGTTATACTCTCCATGCACTCAAACCATTGATCAAATAATCTTTATTAATGGTCAAATTCTATACAAAAAATAACAAAGACTTATACTCATCAGACTATGGAATTTACGCGCAACCAGCGTGGTGATAGGGTTACACCTACACAACAAGATGTTGCACTTAGAATTTCTGAGTGTGATTCATCATTAATAGATCAGATAAATAAGAAGCAAGAAAAATTATGTGAAAAACTATATTCAACAAATCCATTAGAACATTGGGAAATGGCTAAGACATTTGCTAAGATAACTTTAACAAATCCTAATAAGATTATTAGAGTAAGACAAATGATTTATATCTACGAAGATATATTGGAATTTGATGAACAAATAAAAGAATTGTTGAATAAAAAGTTAAGTAAGAATAGCAAAATCTCTCATAATAGTCTTGCATTCATGGTAAGGAATCATGCAGAAGAAAAAAGAGGTAAAGCTAGAATGGCCATTAATTATAAACAGCTAAATGACAATACTGTCTTTGATGGCTATTACATTCCTAATAAAACTATGTGATTTAATAGAATACAAGGAGCCACATGATTTTTAAAGATGGATTGTACGAGTGGATACTGGAAAATTAATATGGAAGAAGAAAACATTCCATTAACTGCATTTAATGCCCCTCAAGGGCATTATGAATGGTTAGTGATGCCTTTTGGATTAAAAAATGCTCCACAGATATTTCAAAGAAGAATGGATAATATTTTTTAAAGAACTTAATCATTGTTGTTTGGTTTACATAGATGATATTTTAATATTCTCAAAAGATTTAGAACAACATATGAATGATCTTAAAGTTATAACTCAAAAATGTGATGAGCATGGTATAATCCTTGGAAAAGATAAATGCGTTTATGCTAAACAAGAAATTGAGTTTTTAGGATTAGTGATTAAAGCAGGACAAATAATATTGCAAAAACATATTCTAGAAAATATTGAAAAATTCCCAGATAAAATTGAAGATAGAAAACAACTAGAAAGATTTCTATGATGTTTAACTTATGCCTCTGATTTCCTAGAAAATCTTGCTCTGTTAAGAAAACCATTACAACAAAAACTCAAGAAAGAAATAACTATGATTGGAAGGAAAGTGATTCCAAAATTGTTCAAGATGCCATGTGTAAAGATCTTCCTGTACTAACACAACCTACTAGTGAAGATGATTTTATCCTTGAAACAGATGCTAGTAATGAGCACTGGAGTGTTGTGTTAAAAATCAAAGAAGGAGAAAGACTTTGCAGATATAGCAGTGGAAGTTTTAATAAAGCTGAGTTAAATTATTCTACCATGAAAAAGGAAATCCTTGCATTCATTAGAGGGATCGAGGAGTTCTTAATCTTCTTAGCCCCTAAACAATTTTTAATAAGAAAAGATTGCAAAGGCATACTTGGTTTTGTTAAAAAGAATTTGTCTAATATGCAAGCGTAAGGGAGACTCTTGCGTTGGCAATTATGGCTTAACCAATTCTGTTTTACTGTTGAACATATACAAGGATCAGAGAATTCATTGGCAGATAGTCTGACTAGAGAATTAGCTAATGGCAAAGAAGCACAAGACATCAGAAAAAACTCTTGCCCATCAACTAGAAAAGATGGAGGCAGAGAGAAAAACTCTTATTGAAGAAACAAATAAAGCAATAGAGCGGGTTTCACCCTCCACTTGGGCCTTGATGGAGGTCATGATTGTTTCATTAAAAAAGAGATCTTGAGATGGTTTGATTAAGAGTTGTAATGTAGCAGTCCAAAGGTTCCTAATGTACAAAGTAATGGTCATCATTCTACAACTCATTCCAGATATTCAGAATATAATACTAAATAAAATAAAAGATAACAATTTTAGATTATGGTGCGATTTAGTTTTATGAAGGTCGTACAAATTGTATGATGTCTATGATATATGGGGAAGTAGAATAATGTTCAACAGTAATTCCAGACTGGGTACTGTGTCAATTCATCCATATTCTCTGGAATGGAGGGCACCATATGCAACGGAACACTACAAAGCTTGGGATTATGGAATGGTTCATAGAATTGTACCATTTCCTGATAATAATACTACTTTCGTTGAGAAGCTCACAAAATTTTAGAGGTATATATTTAGGAGAATTTATGAGGCAACAAACTACAAAGGTAGAGTTGAACAAGTCCAAGTCCAAGTGCAAAGTGCAAACATTGAAAAGGTTGAAGGAAAAGTTAGCTCTCCACATTTCCTGATCATGTTTCATCGAGTCAAAGATCCAATCTGCATCCAGTAGAGACGAGTAAAAGATCCTATGGAGGCAAGAGCTTATGGATTTTTCTATATTGCTCAGTATCTTAACAAGTTCATAGCGATAGAGGAAGAACCACCAGTCATAATACATGTGGGAAATACCATAATAGTAGCACCATAATGGTTAAGGAATTATTTAGAAGGAGTATTACATGGCGAATCAGTATATGATTATCTTGAACAAGTTGAAGCTGGGAGATATTTATCCTTAGAAGGAAAAAAGCATTTATTAGAGATCTTTGTCACATGGGATGAATCCTATGCTGCCAAATGTGTGATGGATCTCGGTATAGAAGAAGATAACCAAATGTATGTCCATTATGAAGATGATGGAGTCTACAAGATATGATGGAGTCTTGAGCCCACACCAGCAATAATGTATTCTACTTTTATTGTTGTAGCACGTTTTATTTATTTTAAAGAATATTTAGAAAAGCAGTGAACGATATTCACTTGCTGAGTCATTGTTTTCTGTAAACCATAGAAAGTGTCGATGACCTTTGTGAGCCTTCCCCTATATAAAGGGCATTAGGAAAAGAAGTGAAGGCAGGCTTGAAGTGAGTTGGCTAGAGCATTTCTAAAAACAATTCTCTTGAAAAAATCCTCACCTTAAAAGAAAGATTGGTTCTCCATCTCTCTTAAAATAGAGAAAAACTCTATTTCTTGTCATGTCTGATTAGACTTTCTGTTTTTAATTTTGTAACAAATGAGTGTTGTAATCTTTTCAAATTAAATAAAATAATTTTCCTTTCAAAAGGGAACTTTATCCTCTCAAAAACTTATATCTCAGATGAGTTATTTTTATGTTTAAAATTATAGTACCATTACAAATACAATAGAGATTGTTTGAGTAGAGACTACGATCTAAGGTAGTAAACGGATTAGATATGTGCTGTGCCTAATCTAAGGAAGACGGGGTTGGGGTTAGCTACCTTGGTAAAGCCGGAAGCTCAGAACGCCAGAGGTTCCATTGTCAACTAAGTTTAGGTATTGGTCAAAACTCTCTAAGTAAAACATTTTATATTGCGAAGTATGGTGGGCTATTAAATATAAACACTAATTTGTTTAAGATATAAGCAGTAAAGTACTGATAACTAGTACCAATAAAAGTCATTTAAGTAATTATTAGATCGAATTATAGTAAAAATTAGTGTATTATTAATAATTGTTATTTTAAATTAAGGTGTTGTTATTAATTTATTAATTACTGTTATTGATTTATTAAGTACTGTTAAAAAAAAGCTAATGTCACTTGGTTTTGGGTTGGGTAACCTATACCAGTTAGTGGTCCATCATTCCCCTGAACCTATATATAAAACATTGGGAAAGATATTGCTACAAAAAAAGGGTCCCATGAAAGATAAAAGGAGTTTTTTTTTTTTTTTTTTTTTTTTGGGGGGGGGGGATAGCCTCAATAATACATGATACTCTCAATCTAACCGAAAATGGATGTCATGCACATATCATATGAGAGCAAAAAAAAAAAAACACAAAAATCAAAAACAAGAATTTTTAAATTATACACATACGCATGTGTCATGGTTTCAAATGTTTTATCCCCACAACTACAACAGAAGCCTTGAATACGACCGCAAAAATGTCAAATTTTCAGACAACACTGATTTGAAATTGGAATTATCCATGGACAAAACTCCAATTTATCATCAGTTAGCTTGCGGTTTGCTAGAAAAAGTGCCTAGTACTCTATTCAATGGGTTCGGATACTACAATGATTGAGATTCGAGGAACAAGGGAGAGAGCATGATCGAGGAGGGGTATTTGAATGAGAAAGGTAGCTTCACTAATTTCACCAACCTAATCATACTCCATTAAAGTTGAGTTGAGAATTGGAAGAGAGAATTTTTTTTAA